CTACCAAAAGTCAAAAGTCAATGTGGAACTCTAGTTTAGAGCTGCCCTGCAAAACCATGTCATTCATCCCCCGCCTTTACCGCCTCATAAACCCGGATGAACCTGACAATGCTAGCTTTGTAGGTCAGCGACTGTGAACCCCTGGATCCCAGCAGAACAGTGCACCCTAAAGTCAACACGAAGCCCAAACCTTATTGGTAACCCGAAATGCAAGCCTAAGTCTTTGGCATCAAGAGCTCATCTTGATCGAAACCAGCCGGCCTAGAAGGTTTTTGGGCTCAGGGTTGTGGGCTGCAGGCTGGAAGGCTCTTGGGCATGGGGAGCTTCGTTTCGATGTACTGCATAAGCAGTGCAGAAAGAATAACCATATGGCCAGTGTGGTCAACTAAAACTCACATATATAAATGATCTGGCAAGTAATATCGGCACTAGCAGTGGCTCATTCGAACGTCTTGACCAATGCTCGCGACGATGGCTTTTCGTCCTGTTATAACTGCTGTATGGGCACTTCAAGTATTGCTCGTCTCTTTCATCTTAAAGAGGGTCCTGCTCAGGAGCCCTTCTAGCACCCTTATACTACCCTTGTACAAGAAACCTTATAGCACCCTTATATTGTCCTTGTCGCACCCTTATAGTATCCTTTTGAAACCCTTAAAGCACCCTTATAGTACCCTTACAGAACCCTTAAAGGGTGGTTGTCAAAAATTAGGGTCCCTTTTACGGCACCTAATATTTAGGGTACCCAAAAAGGGACTCCAATTTTGACAGCTGCCCTTATAGAACCCTTATTGGAGACCCTTAAAACCGTTTCATCTCCGTAGGGCTGAAACACGAATCGGGCTGAGCTTCGCTGCTTCGGAATGCAGTCAAGCTGCAATGGTTGGTTTAGGGTCTAGGGCTTAAGGATTACGGTTGAGGGTTTAGAGTTTAGAGTTTAGGGATTAGGGTTCAGGGTTTAGAGGCGAGGGTTTAGGGTTTAGGATTCGGCTTTAGGGCCTTAGGTTGTGAGCTGCAATGATTCTACTAACCGTGGTACGATGTTGTGAAGTTTTCGAAAGGCCAGCTACTCCCGTTGTCTAGTTTGCCGCGGCTATGAAAAAAGACGACACTGATGCTGGAGATGACAGCTGGCCTAAACACTAAACCGTTGTCTGTGTTGACCTTGAGGAACTGCGTCCACGGATCTCCATGACGTCTGGTTGGGCTTAGGCTAGACTCTCAAAAGTTTCAAACCGGATTAAGGACAAGTAGTGCTGGGCGTCCCTACACATTACTCTTAAGGATTGAGGCCATTGGGCTTGCAACTTTTGGGTTCTACTGTAGGGTTGAGTACCGACGTTGCGAAGAACACCTGCCTGGACGAAGCTGCCAGCTCTGGTGGCAGTGCGGAGGGGAGAGGGGTTCCTCACGAGGACCGTATCTGTGCCCTAAAGCAGGCGCAGGTGGCAAATAGGTGCTTAAAGACACATTCCAGTATTCGGAAATTGGTGCGGTTGCTGTGGGTAGGACTCCTGCTACCAGTTGCTGTGAGCAGGACGCATGCTGCTACTATGATTTAGGCAGTCTGAATATTTATATCGTTATACGGCTTACACGAGTTAGTAATATCGAAAGCCTATTGACAATGTAGATCCCGACTACGTAGGTGACCTGAACAAAATCCGCAAAATGGGCCTGCAATCGGAAGATTCAGGCACTGGACACTGTGGGACAGAACATACCTTGCCACTATCCCACCGAAACTAGGAAGACAATGGCGAAAACTAATCGCTCTGGACCACGGCATAAGTGCAATGCCTTACCTTGAATCCCAAAGTCCTGAACTCGGAAATCCCACACATTCCATCTCAGCTCTGAAACCTTACCACGAAGGTCCCTGAACACATCCCCCCGGGTGAAGTCTACAGCCCGAGGATCAGACGACGCAGTACCTACGGTTGTCAGCCAAGCAACTAGGCTTAAGACCCTGCGCCACATGCGTTACATGCGTGTGTCTACCAAAAGGCTAAACCCTAAAACCTAAACCCCTGAATCCCTAAATCCCTAAACCCCTAAACCCCTAACGCCCTAAACCCCTAAAACCCTAAACTCCTAAACCCTAAGCAAAGTTGTCCTGCCCGCCGTCTCATGGCAAGCACCATGGCGCAGATGAACTCTCCTGCATGCACCACCCATAGGGTCCTATGTACCTATATGGTAGAATGTAGGGTTTCTCGGTTTAGGGTTTAGGGTTCTATACTAGGAATTACAATTGTGATCCAGGGAAGTATCCCCCATAACAGTACATAGGACCCTTTGGGCCAGGAAGCCAACTGTTAGCAGCAACCGTGTGCTGACCACGCCACAGCACCGTAGCAATGATTCACACGAGATGGTAACTTCAGAGCAGCAGTATACTCGTCATCGCAGAAAGAATGAAACGAGGAGAGGGAGCAGCACAATGTGCGGTAGCGGCAAGAGGAGGAGGAGGAGGAGGAGGCGGAGGAGGAGGAGGAGGAGGAGGAGTCGTCGCGGCAGTGGTACTAGAAGTAGTAGAAGTATTGGTAGTGGTAGTGGTGGTGGTAGTAGTAAGTAGTAGTCCCAGTAGTAGTCCCAGTAGTAGTAGTAGTAGTAGTAGTAGTAGTAGTAGTAGTAGTAGTAGTAGTAGTAGTAGTAGTAGTAGTAGTAGTAGTAGTAGTAGTAGTAGTAGTAGTAGTAGTAGTAGTAGTAGTAGTAGTAGTAGTAGTAGTAGTAGTAGTAGTAGTAGTAGTAGTAGTAGTAGTAGTAGTAGTAGTAGTAGTAGTAGTAGTAGTAGTAGTAGTAGTAGTAGTAGTAGTAGTAGTAGTAGTAGTAGTAGTAGTAGTAGTAGTAGTAGTAGTAGTAGTAGTAGTAGTAGTAGTAGTAGTAGTAGTAGTAGTAGTAGTAGTAGTAGTAGTAGTAGTAGTAGTAGTAGTAGTAGTAGTAGTAGTAGTAGTAGTAGTAGTAGTCGCAGCAGTAGCGGCAAGAGTAGTGGCAGCAGCATCAGCAGGGTCTCCGATTTGGGCTGCCAAACGTATCACACCGCCACACTTTTTCGGGAGTAGCCCGAGATCTACATCTAAGGCATTCCGGTGACATCCATAACCTACCCCTACACCCTCGACGTCAGAAGATACCAACTGAACACAAAAACTATCCTAAACTCCAAACAACTATCCCGTGAAACTTTAGAAAGTCCTCAACAACCGGCGAAATACCCTTTATATACCTACGGTTCCATGTGCCAATATGGTCTACGTGCATACTATCGGTGTATATGTATACACCCACATATGTGTGTGTGTATATATATATATATATATGTACATATGTACACATATACATACTCTGCCCCGAAACTACTTACAGTATACAGGAAGGCTTTTAAGGCCTAAGTATACATTATAATATAGGTGCATGAAGCCTGATGCACTGAACCCGCAAAAGTAACCTAAGAGAGCCCTCACAGAACAATTCAAGGAAAGAAGGGAGCCTTTATTCGATGTAGGTAATCTCAGGATTTGCGAAACCGTCCTTCATCAAGCTGCCCGTCATCACCAGCATCGGCAAGGTCCCAAATCTGCAGTCAGAAACAGCGATTAGGGTTCAAAGGGCTTGCAGCTCAGGGCCTTGGACCCCGTATTATTCCTTAAACCCTAAACCGTTATTTAGGGCTCATGGCCTATGACCCCTCTTCCTTAAACCCTAAACCGTTAGGCTTCTAGGGGTTAGGGGTTTTGGGAGTTCAAAGGCTATTCCTTAAACCCTAAACCCTGAACCCCTAAACCCTAAATTTCTAGGCTTTAGGGGTTTGGGGGAGTCGAGGCTTGTGGGGTTGAAAGGCTTGGAGCTTTCGGGCTCGGGGTCCTGGGGCTTTAAGAAGCTTAAGTTTAGTTAAGCCCTAAATTAGGGTTCAAGGTTTTAGGGTTTAGGGTACTTTAAGGAGTTTAGTTAAGCCCTAAATTAGGGTTTAGATGGGTTTAGGGTTTATACGTTTGTTTATTTTGTTTTCTGGTCTTTCTGCGACTGCACTAGTCTCTAGCCGGTTTATACGGTTTAGGGCAGTTTAGGGTTTAGGGTACTAAATCATAAGCCCTTTATGTTGCCCTCAACAGCTCCCATTTTGGTGTGAACACCCTAAGAAACACACCCAAAGCCCTGAATCCCAAGCTCTAGCCACAAGCCCGGCACCCAAACTCTGAAACACAAGCCCGAATCACAAAATCTCATACTCAATCCAACCCCAAACACAATCCCACAAAACCAAACGGTTTGGTGGGGGTTTTGTGATTCTGCTCTTGTCGGGATTTGGGATAGCACAACCGCGCAAAGCCCACAAGCCATCCTGCGCCGCGTCGAGACGTGGCACGACTCCGTATCATTGCGGGTTGAAGCACGGAGCCCTAATATGTGGGTGGTTTGCAAGATTAGGGTCCCTTTTTGGGTACCCTAAAAAATAGGTGCCGTAATATAATAAGGACCCCAAAAGGGACCCTAATTTTGACAACCACCTATGTAGAATGGGGTTTCGGAGTACGCTCTCAGATGCTTACACCTAATGCATGGTATCTCATGTTTATTTAGGCTCTGTGCTAGGGTCAAGGAGCCCCCAAAAGCCTAAACATAAACTTGCTGAGGTCACATCCATACAAGGCCTGAGTTTCAGTAGTTAACGTTTGACCTCCTGTTTGGGCCCTTGACGTTAGCCTTCAGAACAGTGTATCAGTGTAAATAGCCGTCAATGGTCACTCAGTGCATGTACCCATCAAAACAAGCCCTGATAATGAGACAAACAAGTTTACTTTACATGCATCAGCCACCGTCCGATCGAGAATCTGAGAATGAAACTGCACAAGTTGAACCGGCAAGATCGACTTTCAGTAGAGCTGCTTTACTGTAGCTGTAGCTGTCGTGTGGCTAGTGCTGGGAACTTTGTCAAACCCATCAGTATGTGAGATTTGATGATGACCCTTCTTACTACAGCTTGTCATATGCTGCTATGCTTCTAACCTGAAGATGGTGCTGATGACCCTGCCTACCATAAGAGCAACTTGCTTCGTAGGATGCCTAGTGACATTCAGACCCTAGACCCCGAACCCCTAAACCCAAACAAAACCTGCATAACTAGCAGTTGCTTTTTAAGCCTTGAAAAATAGTAGTAGGTAAAATCCTCTTAAGCTCAATAAGAGCAAATAGAAAATGTCCCAAAGCTTTATCTGCTTAAGAGCCCCCCACCACAGCCAGATCGTCGAGGGGTAGGCCGGAGCTCTCCAGCACCTCTGGGCGAGGGTTCATAGGGTTTAGGGGTTCGTGCTATTGTTAGAAGCCCTGTCAACGTGCTGCTATCTGGGGTCTTGCAACATCTCTACCATCCTAACCCTGAACAAACCCTGAAACCCTAAGCTAATGACCTGCAGGATCTTCCCCTGAGCATACGATAGCCACCTTCGCTTAATCGAAGAAGGGCCACGAAGAGTCGGTAATGGGGCTCAGCTGATTAGGGTTGGGTGCAGGGTTTGAGGCTGTAGGGTTTGGGGCTTTGGGGATTTTAGGGTCCTTTGAAGGGTTCCTCGACCTGTGCTTTTTTCGGATACTATACGGGTACTGGAGTAGGGCTTTGGGGTTTAGGGTTAGCGTCCTGGGAGTTTCGGGCGATAGTGTGTGAGGCTGAGGTTTCTTGGGTGGCAGTACAGTACTGAGGGTTGTAGTTAGGGCTTATGATGCCGGACGCCATAGTCTTCGGGTTCGGAGTTGCGCAGTTTAGGGTCCTACGGGTTTCAAAACCCTATAAACCCGAGGGGAATGAACAAATCTGAGCTCAAGTGATGCTGTGGCGGCAATCCGGATGCAGGAGCATCCCTAAACCCTAAACCCAAAACCCTAAACCCTAAATCGAAGGCTGTCTTGAAGGAGACAGCGGCTTTGAGGCGACTCATATAGAAGTTTCCGGAAATGAGGGCCCCCTAATATACTACCCTAGATAGTAGGCTCCGTGTTATAAGGACCCCCAAAGTATGGTACCCTAATTTTCGGAAACTACCATATGCGCCTCTAGTCGCTGAAGTTCTCCGGGTGGTACAGCTTGAAGCTGCAGTATTTGCCGTCAGGCTTCCGCTTCTTGCACACAGCCCAACCCATCTCGCGGCGCTGGCGGTTGCTAAGGTAAGTCTCCCATCTCGCCGTTCTGTTTCCGCAGTCGGGACAAACGAAGAACGGACCAGGCAGCAGGTGCCAGGCTGGCGGCTCCGGCACTGTCGGCGGCTCCGGGACTGTGTCCTTCTTCTTTCGTTTTTTGCGAAGGGGCTTTCTCTGAAGATCATGTTCCGGGACAGCCTGCTCCCGGTTCATGTGACGATGTTTTCGAATTCAGGGTATGCGGATATGACTGCTGCGCGTAGATTCAGATGCCCGCAGTACGGACAAGACTCTGACAAACTCGATACGATTGATCCAACCAACCGTCGCAGAGCATCGGAACTCACCAGCCCGCAGGCCAGAAAATGAATCCTAAACCCGACTGCTACGTACGACATAAGACGAAGTATGATAAGCATGTGTACGTGTCTTTATATAGTGCACTTAGAATATTCATATTCACATACACACACACGCACACATGTGTGTATGTGTACATATCTATATATATGTATATATTATGCAATTACTTATACATGTTTGAAAAGTGGCTATAATCATAACGACTCAAGCACTCATAAGCATAATAATTAACCATCATGCTTAGAGAAGATCTACACCAGGAGTAACAGTAGTGGCAGCAGTAATATAGTAATAGTACTCAAGGTTAGTTAGCAGTACCAGTAATACAACCGACAATAACAACTGCGTATCTTAATTTAATGCCCATATGTATGTCTATATATTCATAAACAGAGATAAATGAAATAACTAAACATATATTAATGAATCAGTTTAATATATCTATACATATGTAATCATCAGTAACTAAACAAACAAATGAATAAACATATGGGCGTTTCCGAAAATAGGGGACCCTAATATAGTACCTTAAATAGTAGGATCCTTATTATAAAGACCCCTAAAATAAGGCACCCCTATTTTCGGAAACTCCCATATGTATGAAAGGTCAAAACCCAATGGGATCGGAAGCTCCTGCAGCGCCTCGCGGGCATCGCCGGCGCCGACGAAGCCGTGGGCGTCCCGAAGCTGGGAGAAGAGCTCACGATACCTGGTTTAGGGTTTAGGGTTTAGGGTTTAAGAGTTTGGGGGGGGTTAGGGTTTAGGAGTTTCGGGGGTTGGGGGTTAGGGGTTTAGGATTTCGGGTGTAGGAGTTAGGGGGATTAGGGTTAAGGAGTTTGGGCATTAGGGCTTTTGGGCTTAGGGTCTAGGGTTTCAGCGTTCAGGGCTTAATTGTTTGCGGGGTTTTGCGGTAGAAGTGTACAAAGATCTTCTCATCTATGTAAGGGTACTGGGCGTTGGATTGTCGAAGTCGGGGGGCAGGTTGGCTCAAATGTCCACACTGTATTGACAACACCAGCAACCCTTGAACACGAACTTCCAGGCATTTGAACCATCTCTGCTATCAAGACAACTTTCCTTGAATTTCGGCGTACCACGGCTGAGTGTCCTTTGTTGCATGGCAGAGCCAGATACTATTTCGCTAGGGTCTATGTCCCGCTCAGGTCACTTAGCTTCAGAAGCGCTCGCAGGAAGAAGCACCAGGACTCTTCTGCCGAACCCTCCCAGAAACCTGAGTAAACGTTCGCTAGCGGAGGATGTGTAACCTATAAAGGCCTGACGTAATTCTAGTCCCCCAACCCCCAACCCTAACCCTGGCTTAACCCCAATAACCGAAAAAGGAGTTGTACAAGGGTAGAGAAAAAAAACGAACCCCGCGAAAGGGTAGTTTTCTGTGGTCCAGTTATTAAACCCCAAAGGAAGCCGCAGCCGGTACCTCTCCAACTCTTCAGATGTGGCCTGCCAGGAGCCCTGCGGCAGCTGGGAGGATTAGAAAACAAGGTCCAGGGTGCAGGGTTTAGGGTTCAGGCTTGAGGGGTTAGGGTGTAGGGCTCAGAGGCTTAGAGTTTAGGGTTTAAGGTGCAGTGTTCAGGGTTTAGGCTTTAAGGTGTGGGTTTAAAGGATTTCATCCGGCTTTAAGGCTTCCAGTTTCTTTCGATACACTTCTCGGTGTGTGTGTGTGTGTGTGTGTCATCCATGTGAAGGCCATGCTAGTCGTCTCTGGATTTATAGGCTTATCCTAACGAGAATTCAAGGCTTTTTTAATCTACGATGGTTTGGGCTTTAGGGTATAGCCTTAGTGTTAGAGTCTAAGCTTCAGGTCTGTAGGGATTTCAGGGTGCAGAGTTTCCAGCTAAGGGGGCAGGGTCTGCAATTTAGGTGGAGCTGCATTACCTCACAGTCACAGTACAGTATCCTAGAGTACCAAGACTAGACTTCTAGAATTCCTTTGCCGCCAGTATGGCCAAGCCTGCGTCGCTGTCAAGGTTTGTGGGTTGCGCCTCTGGCCCAATTCCTCAACAGTCAAGGGGGAAAAGGAGGGACCCTTAATGGGGACCCCTACCCTATAATGGGCTATATCACGGGTATATAATAGCGATATTAAGGGTATATACCTAGGGGTCCTTATTAAGGGTCCCTCCTTTTACCCTTGGAAACAGTAATCCGGTGCAGCCCTAGGGTCAAGGGCTTCAGGACAGCAAGCCTTGCTCAGAAGAGAAACCGCATATCCAGGGTTCCGAAATGAAGCCTTGAAGACTCACGGGAATGAAGGAACAATAATACTCAATAATAACAACAAAAGGACACACACTGGCTGTGCTCTACTTCGCGATTCCGTCACTAAAACCCCTGAGCCCTCTGCGAACGTAAGCTTCTGAACTTCGAGCCAAAACCCTAAACCGTAACCCTCCCCCACCCCAAGTTCCACGCGCTTGGGAGAAGCCCGGAACCCTCGAGAGTCGGACGCCTCACCAATAGGCCTTAAGCTTCCGTAAAGCATCAAGCATAAGGAGAACCAAGAGATCGCTGCATCCTAAAACCGATTATGACAACTAAGGGGCTGAGTAGCTTCGACCCGAAAAGATTCACTTTTGCAATTATGGCCACATTTTCTATAAACCCCCAACCCAGAGACTCCAATATCCCTTAATAAAGGAATATACCTTAAATCATATTCAGGATCCTACTATAGTTTAAGATATATAGTCCTTAATTAAGGGATATTGGAGTCTCTGGGGAAGGTTGTGAGGTTCAAGCATACCTACCCAGCCACAACGTAAACCCTCCTCGCCTGCGTCGCTTGCGTCTCGGGCACGGAGCTCTCAGGCCCAACCGCGGCAAAGCAGGCCTGCTCGGAGACGCATGAGACGAGCTTAGGGTTGAGATGGGTTGAGGATTAAGGCAACATTCCAGCTGTACCATTTAAAATGGGCCCGGATGAACTTGAAGGGTCTGCTCATGATCACAGGTTGGTGACGTGGCAGCAACGAAAAATGACTACCGCTACGGGCTACGGGCCTGCTGCTGCTTCTACTATTGCTTATATACGACTACGACTTCGCCACAACGATGACGACGACGATGCTCAGTCCTAATGCTCTGTGCTCTGCACTTCCTATTTCTGATGGGTAGACCAATCTGAATCATCCAGGAATAGTCAAGATAATGCAAGCCTTTGTGCGCCTAAAATACTGCTGCAGCTGGCACTTCACCCAAAGCCCATAAATATGACCAGCTTTTGTGCATGTTGCTTCCGTGCATCTTGTCGTGGGTGTGTAGGTTCTTGCTATGTGCAGTGTATATATATATATATATACATATAGAGAGAGAGAGGGAGAGACATATGTATAGAGATTCACTTGTGAATTGTGTCTACATATACACCATACATATACACATGTGTATATATATATATATATACATATGTGTGTGTGTATGTATGTATGTATGGATGTATGTATATATATATATATATGTATGTAAATACACATGTGCTTATATGGAAAGAAGTGTATGTAGGAGTATAGACAAGTATGTGTGACTATGTGAATGTAAGTGTATATGTATGTATATATACAAATGCCTAAATCCATGTGTATATATACATATAATTATATATGTCTCTGTCTGTGTGCATGTGTATACACGAAAACAGGTGTATGCATGTGTATGTATGCACACGTGTGCATACAATCAAAAAACCTACATACATCCATGCATGTGTGTGTGTGCGCTTACATGCACACATTTGTAAACCGGCAGCCTACATGTACGTATTCATGAAATGTGCGTATATAGGGGTATGAATGAGCTTTCTACATAATACACATACATACTTACATACATACACACGTATACAAATGCACATACATGCACACATATGCATGGATATGTAAATGTATGCGCATATATAGATACACATACACATACATGCAAGGTCATGCAAGCATACCTGCCTACTTACCTACGTGCCTATACGTATGTATGTATGTATGTATGGTTGTATGCATGTACAGTCTCTGTCTTTCTCTCTCCCTCTCTCTCGCTCTCTCTCTCTCTCTCTCTCTCTCTCTCTCTCACCGTATGTGTATGTGGGTGGGTGCATGCGTGTCGGTCTCTGTATGTATGCTACACTTCCGTCCAATCTTCAGGTAAACCTCGCGACCCACATGCACTCCAACTCGGCACATACTCGCTATGGACCTCTGTTGCTGTGTTTTGGGGGAATACGTACTGCTGCTGATGCTGCAGGGACTAATCGTCTTGTTTCAGCGAGTATCACTATTGTGATGCTGCCTTGTGCAGGTTTGATTGTGATGTTGATGATAGTGACGACGACGATGATGCTAACAACCCCGTTTGAATGATATACATGACTGAACACGGCACAGCATCACCACTAGCAACACCTCATTGTCACAACCAGAATTAACCGTAGCCGTAGCCTTTGGCCGTATGCATATGTGGGACCTTCAGACAGGACCTTCGTTAGGCCCCGAATAGCAACAGCCGAACCCAGAACAGACAATCTAAACAAAGGACGAGTAAGTGCAAGAATCCATCCTGTTCAACCCTACAAGCCCTACTTAAGCCCTACCAGTAACCCCTATGTCCAAGTGCCTGTTGCACGCTCGACCTGGCTGCGGCGAGGACAAGCACTAAAGAACAATGGAATTCATGACAACACACATGTGCGGCAAGCTAAACGACTAGAGGAGGATACGTTTGCAAACTATATCGATCTCGATCTCACACTGGCCATTTGTCCGGCCGCCCTAAACATATGAATCGACAGCGTTTTTCCATCACAGGACTGCATCATTGTCACATGTGTATACATCTGCAGCCGCCGTTCGCCTTGACATGGCGTGCGCAGCATCAGAATTTCCCATGGTTGTTGGCTTGCGGTGAAGACGAGCAACCATTGCAAGAAAAAACATGTTCTCCATCCATGGACGTATGGGGCCTCCGAGTTGGCTAAGCATATCCTCGCCTGCAACATGAGGTCGGGGACGGCAGCCACGACCCGAAGATCACGACAGCCAGATATACATACATGGTGCAGTGCTCGAAAGGTGAAGAAGCCGGGCTCTTGAGTGTGTGGCTGCAATCAACAGAGTGTGATCGGTGTACGGTACCCATGGTACCAGGACCTCCTGACGGCGAGTGTCGCAAAACCGGTGAGAAGGCACAGTAGCAGCGTTCTCCGACGGTGCATGGTGGCATCGCAACAGCTGCCCACACACTGAAACAACGATCTTGGTGCTCCTTAACAGAATCAGAGCGCCACCCCTGCCCTTCCAAAGACTAACCTTGCAAACCATTGAACCTTTTCGCGAGCACATGCCAGGGAAAACTTTAGCCACCGCTATTGCAATGCCGTCTAACATGGCCTACCCCTGTCACATCAAGACGCCAGAGACACAGTACCAATGGTATTGCCTACTATAAGGATACACGGATACTTAACACAAGTATAGTTTCAACTACGTATTCATTATCACTCCCCTGACACTTAACATAATCGTGCAAAAGTTAAACAGCATCATGCACTAGCCATCGACGATGCTGGTCACTTCAAAAGAACATGACAGCACGGCGACTGCCGCCACCACCTCCAACATCACCACCGCTGCTGCCGCCGCCACCGCCACCACCGCCGCCGTCACAGATCGCGACACCGACAGCGACTCCGACGAAAACAATAATGCCAATAAGTTAATCCGCACAAGGACAAGTTTGCTGACCACCCTCAACCCTACGTTGTCAATCGCATCCACTTGTACCACTTGTCGGCTCTTCCGTTTTCCGAGGCCGTGGCGGCAGTGCTTCTGGGATGGCAGCACCGCTCTTTCGCCGCGTAACTAGGGCCTGCATTGTGGGCTTTACGGTTTAGGGTGTACTATGCTTTATCATAGAGCCCTTATGGCTCAGGGTTCGCGATTAAAGGTTCAGTGTCAGGTTTGGTGCTTTGAAACTTCAAGGGCTCTAAGGTTTTAGGGTCTTCACATGGGTGGTTGTCAAAATTATGGTCCCTTTTCGGCTCCTGAATATAGTACGGCACGTAATATTTAGAGTACCCAAAAAGGGACCACAATAATTTTGACACCCACCCACATGGCTTTTTTGTGCCGAGTCTGCTAGGATTTGAGGGTCTCGCGGCTCGCATGGCCCTGAAAGCTGTCTACATGTTTTGAACCAACACATATCCTGCAAACACTAGTCGAAACCTACTTCCGAGTCAGAAGGCAGCCTGATTAGTAGCTCACAGGTCACAGTGGGTTGCCAGCAACCGAAACTAGACGCGAATGCACAAAACTTTCTGTAGACCCAAATCCACGAACCGAGAGCCTTAAACTCAACAACATGAACTTCAAACCTCAAATTTCTAATCTAATTCACAGACCTAACCCTCATGCTTTTGTTGATGCTACTGGGACTTACACCGAACTTACACATCAAACCCAAATGCCTAAATCGTATTGTTCGCCCGTGAGGCCCCGCAAGTTTGATAGTGGTCGCTTAACCCTCCATGGACCCCAAGCATCGAAACACTTAACTTACAAGTGACAAGAGCCACACTTGTGTGAACCTATTGTAGAACCCTTATGGAACCTTTGTAGTCATCTTTATAAAGCCCTTTAGAGGAATCCTTTAAGTAATCCTTAAACAACCCCTGAAAGGAGCCCTCCTCAGTTGCTGGGGTGCCCTAGACCAGAAAAACCTTTGCAGTTATGGTAGATTATATAAACCCCGACAGGTTACAGGTTACCTATCCAGCTACTAAGCCTCAAAGAAAACCCTTAAAGGATCCCCTGTAAACGAGGCCTTAAAGGGACTCGGTTAAGGAACCAAAGGGCTCAACGTGCCATCCTAAACCCCCTAAGCCCTAAACCCTAATCCCAAAACCTTGAACCCTGAACCCCAAACCCCTAAACCCTAAACCTTGAACCCTAAACCCTAAACCCCTAAGCCCCTAACCGCTAAACCGTCACTTGGAGCCCAGGCCATGGCGCACAAGAACTCCGGCTCGGACAGCTGACCATCGTGGTCCTGGTTTTAGGGTTGTAACCCTGGGCATCAACATAGCCCAGAAGCCTTGCATGGTGGTACGTATGGACTCTGGGCCCAAAAGCCTGCAAATATGAGTCCTTAGATTCCTAGGATATGAAGGTTTAGGGTTCATGGGTTTATGGGCTTAGGGTCGTTAGAAGGTTTAGGATCTATGGGCTGAGGGTTTAGAGTAGCAAGAAACGTTAAGGTTTAGCACTTTATGGGTTTAGGGTAGCAAGAAGGTCGCGGGTTTAGAGTTTCGATTCTATGGGTTTAGGGCAAGTAGTAAGAAGGTTCAGGGTCTATAGGGCTTAGGAAGGTTTGGGGTTTAGGGGTTAGGGCTTAGGTTTTATGGGTTTAGAGTTTCGGGCTCGGGGTTGAAGTTTCGGAATTCTGGGTATAGGATTTATGGTTTGGATTTGTGGGGATTTTGGGTTCCGGGCTTCGGAATTCTGGGTTTGGTTCATGGGTTTAGGGTTTACGGTTTCGGAAATCTGTGTGGATCTACGGTTTGAGGATTCAAGCTTAGGGTTGCCGATTTCTGGGGAAAGGACTTAGGGTTTAGGGTTAGGGTTTCGGATTTTGGATTTCTATGTATAGGATTATGTATGGGTTTAGGGCTGAGGGTTCAGGGTATAGCGTTTGGGGTGGCCTATGAAATGTTAGCTTTAGGAATAGGCAATATATCCTGACCACGATTATGAAAGCGACCTCTCGACAACCTCCAAAAGCCTAGGCGCAAAAGCACTACAGTACAATTAGAGACACGGAGACTGAAACCCCGTAGGGGCCGATGACACCCAAGCCTTCCAGGACTGAAGCCCTGAAACCGAAAACACTGCACGAAGCCTTTGTGGAACGCTTGGCGAGCAGTTAACAAACTCCCATTGGAACCCGACAAAAAAATCAAACTCCATAAAATCTAAATCCTTTTCAAGCCCTACGTACTGGAACCGTGATAAAGCCGTCTCTGAACTCTTACAGGAACTCTGAGAAGCCCTCTAGGAACCCTTAACTTAAAGAAGCCCTAAACCCAAGCCCTAGACCCTAAACCCTAAATCCAAAACCCTAAACCCCAGACCCTTAAACCGTAAACCACTAAAACCTGAAGACCTTAACCCTAAGACCCTAAACCCCAAACCCTAAACCAAAATCCTTAAAACGTAAACCCTAAACCTTAAACCACTAAACCCAAGACCCCTAAAGAAGCCCCAAACCCTACACCACAAGAGCTTTAAAGCCTAAGCCCTAAACCCTAAAACCCTAAGCCCTAAAACCCCACCGTAACCCCTTTATAGAACCCCTATAGATCCATTTAAAGGGACCCTTATAGTACCTTTTAAAGGAACCCTAAGCCCTAAACCACAGGAGCTCTGAGCCAGCGTCCAGATCTGCCATCGCGTAGATGGCGGAGAGCTCGGCGATGGGAAGCCCCGAGGCTTCGAAGAACTCCTGGCACAAGCATAGGGTTTGTGGATTACGGTTTAAGGGTTTGGGGTTTAGGGGGCTAGGGTTTGGGGTTCAGGGGCTAGGGCGGTAGGGTTCAGGGCTTAGGGGCTCGGGTTTAAGGGTTTGGGGCTTAGGGTTTCAAGGCTTAGGGCTTGGCAAGAGTCTTATACGGTTTGGGGTGAGGGGGGGGGGGGCTTGAGATTGCAGGTTAAGGAATAATGAATAATAGGGATTTACGGGGGAAGGGGTTTTGCGGGAACTTGGGTTAAGATTTTTGGCCGGGTATATGGTTTCGGTAACTTGGGGCTGAGATTTTGAGCTTGATAGTGGGCATATGGGTATGACTGGGTTTTGGGAATATGGTTTTACGGAATTTTGAAGATTTGGGCGCCGAGTTGGCGGAATGGTTCCATAGTGGCGTGGGGCGAGGTGTCTTGAAAGTGGGGGCAGGTATGATAGTTCGCATGTAAGGGGTGGGTTCGCTTCGAGTTTCACCAGCACAGAGTGCTATCTTGGAAGGTTGTGGGGAAGTCAAGTTCTAAGGTGGGGTCATCAAGTGAGACATGCGGAAACCCATATATATTCGCTCTCCATCCCAGACAACCTCAACTACGAACAAGACAGAATATGTAATCAACTTCAGCATCGCGAGCTGCAGACCGAGGATCCCTCCAGCACTGAACAAGCAAAACAAGATATGGTGTACGGGATGCGAAAACCCAGGACCCCCCCAGCTAAGCACATACCACCCTGTAGCCGTACTTCAGCCGGCATCCAGACACGTCTAACCTGCCTTTTCCACATGCTGCGACTGGGGAGCTTCCGAAACTAGGGGACCCTAATATAGTACCGCATATAGTAGGATCCTTATTTTAAATAAGGACCCCAAAATAAGGTACCCCCTATTTATCGGAAACCCCCACTTGGCTGTTGCTGTTGTCATCCCGAGGCTCCTGCCAATGTCCCTGAAAATCCCCCAGGCTCACTGTACCCAAATAGTATGTACTTAGGCCTTGAAGGGGTGCGTACCCATATAGGTACTTAAAGGTCTAAGTATATACCATATAGGTACATGGAGCCTCAGGGAATGAGAAATGAGAATCCTGTTACCTGTGGTGCGGGGTTTTGTATGCGTTTATGCCCTACGCCCTGGCCCATCACCGCAATTTGAAGGGCTAAACCCTAAACCCTAAACCCTAAGCCGTTAACCCCTAAACCCTGAACCGTAAAACCCTAAACCCTAATCTCTAAACCCTTAACAACCCTTAAACCCTAAGCCGCCTAAACCCTAATCCCTAAATCCTGACCCCTAAACCATAAACCGTTACAGCTTATGAGGCTAGGAGCCATGAAAATCAGAGCGACAAATCTCCGACTGAGCTTTCTAGACTTCTGCTAGAGTGACCAAGAGATCTAAGGTATCTTAGAGAGCGTTGTAGTAGTAGTAGTAGTAGTAGGAGGAGGAGGAGGAGGAGGAGGAGGAGGAGGAGGGAGCGTTCTGTTCGGACTGTTAGGGTTTAGGGTTTAGGGTTAAGGACCGCTTCCATTCTCAAAAGGTGCATTGGTCACTCTCAGCTTGCGATCATGGGTCGGAGGCTCTACTTGTCCCCGAGTCGAGGATCTTGCAACGGGCTTTTAGATTACAAGACCTTCTAGCAGCATTCAAGGACTCTAATCCCTAAGCTCTAAGACATAAACCCTAAGTAAGAAAGCTATACAGTAACCCCTAAGCTCTAAGACATAAACCCCAATCATAAAGGCCTTCCAGCCAAGTTAACAAGCTCCTGCGAAGCTACTTAGTGGTGGTTGTCAAAATCAGGGTCCCTTTTTGGGTCCTCAATACAACACGGCACCTACTATTCATGGTACCCAGAAAGGGACCCTAATTTTGACAACCACCCACTTGATTTAAGACTATTTGGTCTCGGACTGTGGGACAGGAAGCGGATTGAAGGAGCCCCTGTGGACACAAACTTCCCGAAGCCCCGTAATGAAGGCCTTTATCTGGGGCCTTTTAAAGGGGTCTATAAGGGTTGCTATAAGAGATCTATAAGGGTACTATAATGATGTAGGGCATTGATTAAGAAACCTGAGGCCTTTGTTAGGGGTTCTTATAATTATAATTATAATTATACGAACCCTACTGTTTTGTTTTTTTGGCCCAGGGTTTCGAAATCAGGTTCGTACATTACCAGGTTTTGGTTTTAGGAAGCCTGGTCCAACTGATGCAATGCCTTGCGACAAAAAGCAGACATGCACTTTGTTGCTACACTCCTACTGGATCACATCTATAAAGGAAGTAAAACCCTCCAACAGAATAAGCCCCGCAGTCAGGCAGTTCCATATGTACGTTACGGAGGCCCCACAACCAAGTACTAGTAGTGCATGTAGTCGCATGCATACTGGGCGATCGTAATCATTCATGAGCTAATGGTAGGTTAAGCCTGTAAAACTCGTATACAAACATTATTTCAAGAAACGTATGTATATAACCATGATAGAACTTATGAAAGCCTCTAAATCCTAAACCTCTAACTTAACCACTACCTTAACCCTGAATAACCTACCTTTTGAGGGTTCCTGATTATGATTTCTTTCTACAAGTCCTTAAAAATGTAGGTTCTTCGGGGTTAAGGTAAGCCTAGGTAAGCCCTTAACCATAAACCCTAATTAAACTTTATGGCCCTTGGCCCTAAATCCTAATTCCTAATCCGTAACTACAAGCCCCCGACGCGCCCCGAGCTTTGGGGGCATGTCAGTTATCTCGGGGAGATTCTGCGCATCAGAAGTGCTGGGTCTGATCCTGACTAGAAAGCCGAAAGTTGCTTGGCGCGGTTTAAGGGTTTAGGGTTTTGGTTTAGGGGTTTGGGGTTTAGGGTCTATCTAAAATCTTACGGCTTTAAGGCTTTGGGGTTTCAGGTTTCGGACAAAACTGCTTCGGGCAACATGTGGAGCCCCCTGAACCCTCAAACCTAAACCCTAAACCTTACTACCCTAAACCCTAAACGCTACAGTGGGACCTGGATGGCAACAGCTTAGCAGGAGCAGAGCGGGAAGCATAAACGGTTCTAGAGCTTACTTCTATCAGCCCTTGTAGACCCAACCAATATAAATATCGCATTTCTTACTGATCCCGTTAAGTTTCATTAAAGCATGTATATCAAAATCAGAATGACTGTCTGGTTCTTAGTAGGGAACGGAGGAATGGATCTCTATAGTACTCCCTATATAATCCCCATTACTAGTCCCCAGAACCCCTTCCCCCATACCCTATTAAGAACCAGACAGATAAAGACCCAGATTTCGGGTATGCTGTTTGGAGCGCTCCTTATTCTAATTATAGAATAAGGGCCCCCCCCCCCCCAAACCTTTTCCAGATTATTGAGGCCCTATATTATAGTGGCCTTCTAGATCCCTTCTAGTTCCCCTTATAGACCCCTTTCAAGGAACCCCATCCTCATTATTATCTAGGATGCCCAGTAACATAGGAATACAAAGGGCTCCCTTCTTGGTATGGGTAGGATTACAACAATTGAATAAGGGTACTACTGGGCATCCTACCCATAGTCTCCATTGTAGTTCCTTTTTGGGTTAACCAAAATCTCTCTTATAGGATCCTAACCATAAAACTGGTTAACCAAAAAAACTACAATGGAGACAAAAGGTAGTTACTCAGTGGCCCAAAGCCCAAGGAAATAAAAGTTGAAACTTTCAGAATCGATTACCTTATAAGAGCCCCAAAAGTTGAAAAGTTGAGTTTACAGCCAATAAGGTTATAAAGCCCCTATATTAGCCAGATTGGGGGTTGAGGAAGATCCGGACTTCGAGGGTTTCGGGGTTTTGGGGGACTTCGCTCTGCGGCGACTGCTGCCTAACATTAGGGCTTCAGGCTTTTAGGGGTGAGGGTTTTGGGGTTTAGGGTTTTAGGGGTTAGGGTTTTAGGGTTTGGAGTTTATAGGGTTAGGGATTTAGGGTTTGGGGTTTTTAGGGGTTAGGGTTTTAGGGTTTAGGGTTTGGGGCTTTTAGGGGTTATGGTTTTAAGTTTTGTTGAGCCGGAGTGGGGGGGTTGGGTTTTTAGGGTTCAGGGTTAAGGTTTCAGGGGAACAAAGCATGACGGGGTAATAAACGCCCCAAGCCCAAGAGGTGTAACCGCGCTGGCGAAAGCAAACGCCGTAATTTAAAATCACCAGAAATCAGTGCCAGGGCTGCGACGCCCCTGGCCTGGCAAGCCCCAAAAATCAAAAGTCTGTCAAGCGACAGGCCGTCAACCCGCAATCAACATAGGAGGAAGCAGCTAGGAAGCAAGTATCAATCTTCTGCGTTCCTTCCCAAAATCCTATTTGGGAGGGAGTTTCATCCAAGTACGGAGCATTAGTACAGAGCAGGGTAGGATTCGTGATTCGTGTAAGCAACCGAAGTTAGCGTTGGAGGCCGTGGGTCTGGGGTTTAGGACTATATACTCGTGGGACAGGACCTGGCTCTTGGGTTTTCAGGCTTTGGTTTTAGGAGGTGGGGTTTAGAAGGCTTAGGAGCAGCCATGCCTACTAAGACATCCATCACAACCCGACAGAAGTTTCACTGTAGTAAACCCTGGGGCCAAAACCGAAATAGATGCTGAAGCGATGCCGTCTAGAATCATGAGAAACCTCTTGAAACCCTGTACAGACTCCTTCTTAATTGTATTCTGGCATGCTCCCTGGAATACTCTACCATGTCAGGCCGTTGCCAGTTTTTTTCTTTCTGCTATTGCCGGTTCGGTTCATACGCCAGATTGATACTGCCATGGCAATGTGTACCTGTATCTCGACTCTCATTGTCAGTTTTCTGAGATTTGATGTTCCACTGTCAACACGGCGAGGAGTATACCTACTCCGTGCTGCCAAAGACCGGGGTCTTCACAGGCAGCTGTACATGTTATGGTTCTACTTAGGGACATTAATAACAGGCAACTATTGTTCATCGTTGCTGTCTTGCGTTGTGCGGTACTGCATCGGCGATGTCGG